CGAATACATCGGTTTTGTGCTACTATGTAGTAATTCATTTGTTGAACCACGACACTAAGGAAACAAAGTTACTTTGTCGTGACCGCATAATGTGTTCAGCTAGAAGCTATTGTGTGAGCTAATCAATTCTTTCCTTACACAAAAAGATTATTTACAAGAGTCCATTTTGCACTCCGAGATGGATAAATACTGATACCACTAAACTGATACCGATCACCTTCGTTTCCAAAAGCAAAACAACAGCCTGAAAGCAATCTAGCAATTGAATGTGATAAACAGCATAATTTTAGGAAATATACATCTAAGAAATAACAACAGTGTATCCAACTCAAAAACAAGGTGAAAAATGTCATCGGTTATAAGGAAGTAGTAGTATGTTGTAATATCACGAAAGCGAAGAAAATAAAATTATCAATCGATCAAATCTCAGATCTAATAATTTCTGACTCAGAATTAAAATCCCAGTTTTGAAATGGCAAGAATAGAGTAATAAAACCAATGTTATCAATACAGCTATTTGACAGATCACCAAGTTTTTGTCGTTGTGTAGCACTGATCAATAATGTTTATAAATATTATGAGAAAAATATGATTAAAAAAAATAAACAACCTCGATAAGCATGAAGACGACAATTTCGTCGTCTTAAATAACAAATAGCATTCACTGAAACACATTATTATGCAGCTGAAAAATACATTATGAAATAAAAACTATGTGAGAGGAATCAAAATAAAGATGAATGAAGTAATGATTAAAATTGGTTGTAAATTGGACAGATATTCAGTTATAAGTTGATTAGATTAAGGCTGTTCAACAGAAGAGGAAAGTTATAATATAATTGTACAAAACGACAGAATCAAAAAATATGAACAAGTAAACAAGAGAAAAACAATGGGGTGATAAAATTTTAAAGTACTGAACTGATTCGAAGAGATGGAATGTCATCTTGATAATGTAAAGCTCATAGTTTTGGAAATAATCGTTTCTTGATTATCTTGTAATAAGCATTTAAATAATATATATAAATAGACATTAGCGGTTTGATGATGCATGACAGGTAACCAACTTCACTTTTTGGACACAAGTTAATACTCATGGGAATGATTTAATTTGGAGCAAAGTAATAGAGATGCAGTTCTTCCCCAGCAGTGAATAATAATGAAGAAATCTTAACAGTTCTGCGAATTTACTTTAACAGTTTACTAGCTTGTTCATTGGCCTTTTTGATTCGTTCAGCATTCGACTTTGCCTGTAATGAAATAAGACGATAGATTTATGCATAAGACATGAAATACATTAATTAGATAACCAAATAACATTGTGAGTATTCATAATTTGAGTCGAATTTAACACAGGCCTGAAATCTATCTGAATGTGATGAAGTATACATAGAATGTAAACTAGGAATTAATTACCACCGAATGAAATCGCTAACTACTAGTTTGTCATATTAAGAACACCAAGATTTCCCCACGAGACCTATGGGGAAATAAAAATAGTATCTCAAGATTCAACACAGCATGACATATATGTATATATATCCCACATTTAAAATTTTAAATGTCCTAAGTTTCATCTTGTTTTCGTTCCATGCATCAACTTAATATTAATGTCTTCGATAATCATCTTGATAGTTACACTTCTACTTTGAAGTAAAAACTCTCAAAAATACTCTACATTTCAACCTCAAAAGTGTGAGACGGACAATTATTAATGGGAAATACCTCATCTACCATATTACTTATACACTAATATATACTTGATTGATCAAGAATTCTTTCCGTGTATTTTTATGAGCTACGAAAAAATGTTGTTAACAGACATTCACCACCTACAAGGTCTAAAAGCCCATGTAAGGATTATGGACACAGTCTATAAGTCTGAGAAATTCACTTCAAATTAAAATTCTAGGTAACAAATTTTCTCAAAAAGTTCTCTATGTGAATTAGAAGACAAATACATCAAAAGACAAGCACCTACCTTGATTTGTATTCGTTCAATTTGCACATTTTGCTGATTTATTTCACTACCCATGTCGATAGCCATATTACGCAGATTCCCTATCATACCGGAAACTTCTTGTAAATTTTGATCCATTTCATCCTCCCGAGCGTCATTCGTTATGCTAAAAGCAAAATAATCTTGATTTTATTGGACTCAAGCTGATGGCACAAAACCGCTCGCAGCCTTTTAAGTAAATACTTTGTACGCCAATTAATTATAAATATAAATTTTAACGGTTGTTTACACACTGATAAATTTTTGATTTTGCTCGAAATATTATCCACATCGAAAACTTAGCACTAGTATGTAAACAATCACTGATATACAATTATAATCAACTGATCTCTATTCTACAATGAACAAACTTATCACAGAAACTATGCGCACGTTTGTTAACAATAATTCAGAGGTATATCAAGCGTATTTTTACTTGTTTACCACATAACTATAAATAATTCATCCTGTCAAATTGGTGCCATCCGTAGAATGAATTCATGTGTAACAAACCCAACTATTTTAGTTTTTCTTCACTTTAAACAGGGGGAACAACGTATGAAAGAAAAAAAACTGGAAAAATAGAAATATCACAATAAAGCCTATGGTAGAAGACCCGAAATAAATAGTCTTAAGGATTCCAGACACCCAACTTGGGAAGTACCATCAACCCAAACGGGTTGATCTCCGACGAAATCTCAGCACGAATACAGAGGGTTAGTTTCGCATATGCCAGTTTACGTCGTCGCTGGCGTAGACGCGATATCCGACTATCGACCAAAGGGTATGTTTACTGCTCAACAGTCCGCTCCGTCCTCCTTTATGGCTGTGAGACCTGGCCATTGAGAGCAGAAGACATGAAAAGATTAGCTGTCTTCCGTCATAGGTGTCTGCGTTCTATCTCCCGCGTGAAGTGGTATAATAAGGTGAGCAATATTGAGGTTAGGCGTCCAGTGCTAGGTAAGGAGGGGAAATCAATCGACGAGACTGTGAAATTACATCGACTGAGATGGTTAGGACAGTGCTACGTATGCCTAGTCATCGCCTTCCTCGATGGGCAATATTAGCTAATATAGGGCCAGGCTGGAAAAGAGCTAGCGGCGGTCAAATGAAAACATGGCACCAGTCAATGAAATCCACAACAGTCAGTCTAAGCCACTTAGGAAGGTGTAGACTTCCTGGTTGGGGTCCTCGGGACGGTAAAAACCAATAGTTGGAAACAATTGGTGACATGGCTCAAAATCGTTCTCAATGGCAGGCGCACATGCATCCACTCCTTGTGACTTATGATTTCCAATGAAACTGTTTTGTTCTTCGTTATTACTATTCCTTTGTCTCACACCTCTGTTTACTGTCTATATTATGCAGTTCTCCTACTTTCTTCTCTTCCTTTGTGTGCTACATGGAGTGTGGCGACTTGAACTGCCGCACTTATGTGCAAAGTTCTACGTCGTAAACCGACCGACCGACCGACCGAACATGAACATTGTGCCTATAGGACGCTAAGTATTGCTTTACAACGCGTTTATACTAAGACAATATTCAAACAACAACACATTAGGTCAACTGACCACATCCCACGAAAAGTGGAAATAACGAATGAACTAATAAGACCTAATACGGAATGGGAAGATACGTTAGGCTAAGTAACTTTCACTACTGCCACTAGAGCTATCATCTCTGAGGGTAAAAAATTACGATTCATTGGTAACACAGGTCACATGAAGTACATTAGCTCAAATTTCTGCTTTTTCCTTATCTACAGATCTCAAATAATTTCTTAATTTAAACTAAGGTTTAGAACAAGCAGCTGAACAATTGATTGTTTAAGCGTAGAACTTTTCACAGAAGTGCAGTAGTTTAAGTTGTGACGCTCCATTTAGCACATAAAACAGGAAATTTGAAACAGCTACAGGTAAAAGAACAATAACACAAAAAAACATGAGGGCTTAGTAATTTAGGAGATTACACGGAGTGAATGTATCTGCAACATTTATATCCGAACTTCCTACCTATTCTGTTATTACCACATCATTAATTCGTAATTGTACAAAATTCCTGCGTTTTTCTGTCAAGCTTGCTGAAGTTAACACGGAGCTTAATTTTCTGAAACGATGCATCGATAAGCATGAGTATCCAAAACATTACTGGATGAATCTCCGCCGGAATCATATTTACCCTAATTCAAAGACACTTAAACGTCACACACTCAATCACATCGACGCCATCCGCTCCCGCATACCCGAACTTCAACGTAATATATCACAAAGAACCCATGCTTTATATGAACTATCCGATGATGAACGACAAACATTTCAGGATTATGTATCTAGTGTCATACAAAAACGTTGCAACGATACCATTTCACGACTAACAAAAAGCCTGAAACCATCTGAAACTCTTTCGTCGTTTCCACAGAATCCAGAGAAATACGTCTTTAATTTCTCGAATTTTCCTCTGACTCCTGTTCAAATGCAAGTGCTATCACTTGGCCCAAAATTTTGCCATGTATCGAGTAAATTCAACGAATTACAAACAAAAGTACAGTTTGAGAATTTAATGTCACAGACATCCGATTTGTCACCTACTTCTGAAAAAGATCTGGATCAATTCAAAGCTTCAATCCTTGACAGCTGTTACAAGTACATTCATACGCGACCGAGCCACCGTTATCTACTGACCAAGGAACACAAACGACAACTTAAACAGCTCCAAGAAAATAAAGACATAATCCTCGTCCGTCCTGATAAGGGCAATGGTATTGTAGTAATGAATAGATCCGATTATAATGAGAAATTGACAGATATACTATCAGATAACACCAAATTCTTCGAATCACCCAACCAGAAAGACACAACCGAAAGAACCGAAAACCAACTTACAAAATTGCTGAAGAGAATGAAAGGAGATTCAGTCATAACACCGGAGGTTTATGAGCAAATAAAACCTTGCAGTTCAACTATTCCAAGACTGTAGGGACTGCCTAAAGTACACAAGGAGAATGTCCCACTTCGACCGGTCATAGACATGGTTAACTCACCATATCATCAAATCGCGAAGTGGCTAGCGGATATCCTCGAACCAGTTCAAAGACATATGACAAAATATAGCCTCAGAGATACATTTGACTTCATCGACTCAGTGAAGGATGTCAACGTGTCTGAAAGACAAATGATCTCACTAGATGTCGTCTCTCTATTCACAAGCATCCCCTTAACTGAAACAATATGCTTCATTTGTGATTACATCGAAACCAACAACCTAGAAGTTCCTCTCCCAATAAACTACCTGAAGGAACTTCTTCTCAGATGTACATTCAATATCCAGTTCAAATTCAATGAAAAGTTCTATGTACAGAAAGATGGAGTAGCTATGGGGTCTCCTCTCGGTCCACTCCTAGCCGACTGCTTCATGGCGAGTCTGGAAAACAACATCCTCAATCCCTTGATAAGTCAACTGCACTTATACAAGAGATACGTAGATGACACGTTTATAATCTGTAATGAAAATTGTGATTTAGATTCTCTACTCAAAACCTTCAACGCAGCGCATCCATCAATAAGTTTCACCTTAGAAAGAGAATCGAACAACGCATTTCCATTCCTTGATGTACTACTCACCAGACGACACGACTGTACGATCCAAAGATCAATATACCGCAAGCCAACATGGACTGGACAGTTTATCAACTTTCAGAGCTTCGTCCCACTAATCCGAAAGAGAAACCTGATACGTACGTTGAGCTCAAGGATTAGAAAAATCTGCTCGGAAGACATGGTGGAGAATGAATTAAATTTATTACGTAAAATCCTACTAGAGAATGGATATCCACCAAGATTTATTGACAAAAACATGAAGGAGAAGCCTCCGATGTCAAACATCGCAACGGTTCCTAAGAAGACTCTCTTCATGAACCTAGAATTCAAAGGTGATGTCGCAGCGGAAATTCTCAGAAACCGCCTTTCTAAATGTCTGAAGAAGACATTTCCAACAGCCACTCTACGTATCACATTCTCCTGCAGACAGTTAATCCAGTCTAACGCTAAGGACAAGATACCGCTTTTGGCCACCTCAATGTGTATTTATCAATTTACTTGCTCGTGTGGAGCAAAGTATATTGGCCGTACGCAACGTCAAGTCCAAAAACGTATTCTGGAACACTGCCCCGCTTGGTTGGCCAGAGGAGAAAAGAAGAATAGCAACAGCTCGATCCTCGAACACCTTGTCATCTCTGGACATCGAGCACCCCCACATGAATGCTTCACAGTGTTACACAGAGTCCCTCAATATCGTACAAAGGGACTTCGGATTCGCCATCTGTACATAGCTGAAGCATTAGCTATTCGAGATCTAAAACCGGACCTCTGCATACAAAAGCGATACATACATTCTCTTGCCTTACCATGGCCAGAGTAAAATTTCTTATCACAATTTTGCTTCTTTCCTTTACTATGTAAGTTCACTATTATTACCATTATTATTATTTTTATTTTATTAATACTTTTATTATCATTTTGTCCCCATCATCCACATTTTATTACCACTCTATTGCTGTTTATTAATAACATTGTTTTCCATACATATTTTATACAAAAACACTTTATAGCCTTTCCACTAGTTCCTGTCCATTTTACACGAGATTATTGATTATTCACTATCTCACACTTATTACGTCATGCCAACTTCTGTCTCCTTTCTAACTTACAATTAGTCATCCCTTCTTACACCTTACATTATGTAATACAATTTTCCAAGGACAAAATTTACCATTATCTGATTGGTCTAAAGATTTCTTTGTTAATTATAATTACGATTGTACAGCTCATGAAAATGAATCGTCGAAAAGAAAATTTTCTTCGCTGTTTGTGCCTTTTTCTTAATTGTACAAACAGTCAAGATTTTCCGTAATTATGGTCTTATTATGCCTTTTCTACCTGATCTTTTTGATCATTACACTTAGTAATTTTATTGATTTGACCTTTCACCGAAAATAATTCTGGGACTTTCTCACACATTTATTATAAATACACGAATGTATAGCCTAGCTGATGACTTCGTCGAAAGGAAAAATATTCTTCGCTGCAACCGTCTTTTTGATATAAAAGTAGCAATTGAAAGTAGATTTTCGTACCGACTGTTACTGTAAGTACATAGTCGACTAATCAGTTCTAGCTAGATGAAATAATAAGGCGTAACTACTTGATATTACTGAAAAAAACTCCAGGTACTTAACCAGTTAAATTGCATAACAAAGGATAAAGTTTGATTTTTATGGCTGAAATAATTGTTTACCGTGTGGCAAGCACAAGTTTACATTTTAAGTTAATGCAGCAGTCTACTGAAAACCACAAAACTAAAGGACAGAATAGCCCTGTTCTGTAGGACTTAGTGATGACAGGACTGCTTCGCCATTATACTTTGAACAAACATGGATAAAACAGAAATTTCCACCACTGCATATAATCTGTTATGTCTGAATGAATTTTCAAGATCAGAAACTTACCGAGTAATGTAACCGCCAGTTGGACCCATTCCATTTTGGTCCACAATTATACGAGGTCCGTCTCCGCCACGCATGTCCTCATCCTTTAGTTGTTTGGTATAGTCATCCTTCTTCTTCACCCTGCACAAACATATAGAGTTGATAACTTCGAGATCATTTTAAAAATGTTAAGGTGATTGATAGCAAGCAAACAGATTCGGTCTTAAAACGCCAAAAAAACAGCTGTTTGCTTTAAATGTACGGTGGACTGCTCAGCCATTAATTTGTCTTAACGCGCCAAAACCAGAAGTAAACAAATAAGCAATAAAATACTATAGCAGGCAAATCTTTCAAAGTACATAAGAGGAGAACTAACGTAACCAGCCATAAATATGATAAACACTACCTAATACCTTCTGATTGCCCCATATATCAACCACTGTAAAAACAATATATGAGACTGTATTAAATTCTCACTCCAACCGAAACGTATAGAAGCAAAAACAAAACAATGACTCTGACAAAATATTAGTTAAACAATTCGAGATGATGAATAATGCCAATTAAGTCAGTGGAAAAATAATGGGAGATAGTAATGCTAAAATAAATAGCAAATTGCCTCCATAATATACAATTCCGGTAATTTAGGTAGTATAACCGAAACAACATTAGAGAGCCATCTGCGTCTTTTAGGTCCCGTGGGAAAAAGGAAGATTAAGGCCACGACAGTCAGGTTATATGGAGGGCAGGACTACAGTGGTCAACGATTTCCAACCTTTTGCCATATACAGTTCCACCACCATTCAAAACCTTTCGCATATATTTAAAATCGAATAACTGGGCAAACCAGTAAAGAACTATAATTAGAACCCGGGGAAACCCCACCACAGAATAGACTTGATCTAACTAAGGAGGGGAAATTTATACAGAAAATTTACTAAGTATTAGAAACTACTAAACTGAAAACGAAACTTCACACAATAAAAGAAATAGGAATAATATTGGCTAACATGTAACTAAGCATATCATGCATCATGTTTTGGAAAACAGGACTTATTCGAATAACAAATCTACAAACCTTCGTTACAGTCTTAGCGCCGAAATATTCCGAAAGCTGGTAAATACACCACACAATTATTGAAATACAAAAGCTACGAATACAGTGGTACTACTCTGTCATCTGAATTCTGTAAATACCGACTTTTAACACTACATATACTCCCAACTCTTGTATATCATTTGATCTTCAAAGTCAGTTCAATGTGTCCAAAAAACAACTAAGCTACACTTTAAGGTACGACTGAGTCACCTGGAACAGATTTTTTATGTAATAGATTATGAGCTACATTTGTTATTTGGAGGCTTAAGACACCATCTAGTCGCGCAAGCAGTGGGTGGAAAGGTACTCAAACCCAGGATCAAATTACTCAACACTGATTGTTTACGCAAATGAACATTGTAAATAACATTTCCCCTAACCATATACAAATCACAAGAGCAATGGAAAATTTTGAGACTAAACACAAAAACGGATCTCACTTATTCCAGGGCAATACACAAAGTCCACAACATTTGTTTAGGTCATCCAAATTCTTCTCAGCATCCTTCATATCTTGATTAATTTGATCCATGCCCTCATTGATGCGATCCAATTGTTCTGAAAGATTATTTCAGACATCAATCTATGAGTCTCCGGTATTTATAAACATCGTGCAAACCAACATTTAAAATATAAGTATGAAAAAGACCTGGCGAGACAGAAATACCTACTTGAAATGCTGAGGATGATAAGTTCAAATTTACAACAACTAAAATATACTACTACACCTACATGCGAATTCACGTTGAAGTTTTTACAGAATTTCTACTTCACAAAATGTACAACACACGTTTTTTACTTAAGTGAAATATGCGCCGAAAATGAACAACACTTAGACAACACAAAATTTACTTAACACTACATTTAGGCTTACCGCCCTGGTCATCTAGCATAACCAATGTTGAAATCCCTGCCTCTTTAGCCTAAATATCACGCAAATACTTATCATATCAGTTTTAAATTTTTAAGAGTTACTATTTATCAATTGTGTAAATACTCACCTCTTCACATAAAGCCATCATCCGCCGAGAGGCCTCCAGCGACTAAAAAAGATGTTCGAAATCAGTTATTAGTAGAGATAAGCTACTATTTTTTTCGCTACACTATTAAACCAAATGTGCAAACGTGTAATCACCAAAAAATATTATTTACACTGTACATGTATTCAAACCACTTAATATGTCATCCTAACAATTATGAAATTTCTGCAAAAGTATTGAGGACACCTGAAGTAAAATCAGGTATATATTTGAACCTAACCGAATACCTTCTTATAATAATCAACATCAAGTCAATACACGATCACATTATAAAATAGAACTCATAAAACACTAGAAGGTATCGAATACCTACATCTGAAGTTGTTTCATCGATCTTTTTTTGCAGCAGTTCCACTTCCGTCATTGGTCTAGTAGTTTCATCATCCAGCTGCACCTCATCATATCCACAAGTAGGCTGACGAGATTTCCGTGGCATCTCTTCGTTAATACATCCAAATTAAATATGTGCTAATATCCTCTCAATAAAAATTACATAATTAGAGTGAAGGTAGACTAGAATCATCAGTTGTATGATAGAAGCCTGAGAACTGTGTTCAACGTTAGTTCATAACCCATTAAAAGAGCACAAATCTGTTTAGATCAACCAATGCTCCAATCCATGTAAGAAAATAAAACTACTAATACTCATCCTAACATATAAGAGCTAAATGTCTTCCCACAAGAAAGTGAATTGTGATTGGTTAAGCAAAAATTTACTAACGACGGACACATAAGAAAGACATATTTCAGTTTGAAAATTTATACTACTATTAAAATTATAAGCACAAAAGTTTTTAAAAAATCATATTTGCAAATGACCGTCTCCATTCAGGAATTAGAATTATTAACAGATTTTTAAAAATACAATGATTTTGATTTTTTTAGTCGTGTACTTGCATCATATGCAGGCACAAGAAATGAAAATATCTGAGTGAAAATAGTTAACGTTAAGATGCGAAACTTTCCGTGCTTTCATATGATTATGAGCAATAAATTGTGCTCAAAAACTTATCAGTAAATAATGCTGTATTGCTGTACTTTTCTCAAATAAATTTATTCAATGATGGATTTTCACCCTACCACAATGTCCAACTTCTATTCTTATACCAATGGAACCTATGGTCTTTCTACTATGAAACTTGTCAATAAACCTACAACTTTGTCAAACTGAAGCAGGATTCACATACTACATTTTCCACATCCGATGTTTCAAAAATCATTTAATTCCCAAACACCTACGGCTACGTATTCTAATTACAAAAAGGCAGAATTATAACAGTAGGTGAACATAGCAGAATATGTTTGAGAGAATCCCATGGAATTATTAAGAAAATACCCAAATGAAACTGGAAAACTCAAATGACAAAGATTATGAAATCCTAGTTGAAACACCCAAGAAAGCTAGAGAAATATTCTTTAAACAATGAAACGCTATAAGAAATCCAACAAACTGATGGGAGGAAAGAATAGCACAGATAACGAGAAAGTTAACAACGACGTCTCATCGACTGCAAATAGAACAAAATGAGTGACCAAACTCAACGAGAACTAATTTCTCTAGACAGAAAGGTTCCAACGAAATCAGCTTTAATAAATCTAAAAAACGATAAAAACGCTGTAAAAGCTGATAACGACAACTAAAAATTTGTTATGAATATATCGGATTATATCACGGGAGTCCATGAACACATAACAGGTCCATAGGGTGAAATCAAGAAACCTGTAGACATAGTAATGCACAAGATTGAGTTTACATAAGATTCAACATACCGAATGAAGCCGTCACTGGGTAAGTAGTCTATATGGTTTAACTTAATGTCTGAAAGCGATAATTCAGTAGAATACATGTACTACTAAGATACATAAATCAAGGTATCCTATAAGACAGTAAGTCGATTTCAGAAATGACCCAAATACAGCAATAATATTGTGCCATTCAGAAATCTCTCAAATTCCAATTTCACCAATTCATACGAAATGAAAAAGAGGTTTGATGACATTTAAATAAGTAATGAAACAACGGTTAGTTTTGACGTAACTAGTTTTCACACTAATATACCGGGCAAGATGAACTAGGAAGCAGTTGAAAAGAACTGTTGATTTCGAATTCTCTAGTAGGACAAAGCTACTTATTGAGG